ATCAATTTTTAAACATATTTTTCTTAAACATAGAACAGTAAATAAAGAAGTAAAGCAAACAATTATCTCTTCTAGTTATGACCTTTGTACTCGGTTGCTGCTTTACGTAGGTTGCTAAGCCATCAAAACTTTTGCGCGTGGAGGATATGAAACAAAATATTTTTTTATAGGTTTTATATATATATATACATGTGAATAACTAAAAAGTCATAAATTACTACATTGATACCATAGAATTCCACTGTAATTTATCAAGCTTAATAACTAAGATTTTTTTAGCCTAAAAAAATATGAAATTTGGAGCAGATTAAAGACACACCTTACCTCGTTGAAATATTTGTTCAAAAGAAAGAAATGGTACCAAGCCCGTTAAAATGGTTGAGAAAGCCACTAGGGGGACATTCTGAGCTTCTGATTGGTTATTCATGTCATATATAGAAGTGAGTGTATATAAGGGAAATAGGTGGTTGGGGTGCCACTGTGTGATTTATTACGTGAGCAATATCTTAGCAAACTGAAAAGATAAGAGGCTTATATTTTATATTCTAGCTTGTCATTATCTGTAATTTGAGTTTCTAATTTGTATGAAACTATAGACTTAGTATTTTGACTTCACAAATGTCTAACATTCAATGTACCATGTGACACATAAAAATCAATGTTTATCTGTGTTTTTTTAATATTTTCTTTTAAGTTAAGAAATTGAGTAATATATAGTACTAAAATTTGAATTATAATCTACAGTTTGATAACAAACATATACTCATGATATAGTAGTTCAATAAAATTTCGAATGCAAGTCAACAAACAAGATGACATGCCCTTTCACTCGTGGCCTGTCTCAAAAGGGTAAAACATAAGAGAGAACTATTAACAAATCCTGAAAGATAGGATGCTATAAATTGGGTGTGGCAAGAGGGGTCTGATTTTGTATTTGATGGCTCTGTAACCAAACAAAATTGAAGGCTATAAAAACTATGGTTTGTCTAAGCAATGACGATTTGATAGTGAGTAATTTATGTTAAACTTCATACTTATTGGAGGGATGGTGAATAAAATAAGAGAAGAGAGGATGCCTCCAGAAAATATGTCACATTTCTCACACTAGGAGAAATTCAGGATTTTTTAAAATATTGCCTTATAAAATTAAGAACTTAAAATTTATATACTATTAAGATATGGATTATTAGCTATGATTTTATGCTATACTAAGTGGTATAACATAAAGAAAAAGTAGTTAAAATTTTGAAAATAACTCGCTAGAAAGACTATGACATGCGCAGTTAAACCACCCCGTCATGAAAGGGTTAAATTATATATTTTTTTATCTTCTTTTATTTTGTATTATATGTTTTATTATTTTTATTATAAACTATATTCTGTACTACATAACTGAGATATTTTTTTATTAAGATATATTTTTCAATATCATAAATTATATTCTATAGTTAAACTAAATTTCTCATGTTTTGAACTATATTAATCATTTTTATTATAAGCTATATTCTATATTATATAACTGAGATATGCTTTTGTATTTCTAGTGCAATTATGAGGCAGGGCTACAGATGTCTATATCTGGCTCTGGTACTTCTGCCCAGGTGCAGCAGCCTACAATAGCAGCATACTGTACAGAATCAGTTAAATATAAGTCTACGCACCCTTGTCAGAAGCACATCACTAACAAACTTGTCAATTTTATTGCCAGTACACTACAATCCTTCTCGGTGGAGGCAAAAGATTTTCAAGATCTATTGGCAGCTATGGTTTCTCGGTATATTCATCCCAGTGGCAATATCTGCCCACAAGATCAGATTTGATTATGTCCAACAAAAAGTCATCTCTCTGCTGCAACTTGTACCCAACACTGTGGATATCTGGAGACAGTTAGTGACTCAAAAAATGAACTTTTGGATGAATCTAAATCAGCAGACAGTTTATCTGAATTTCTTCCTGGTTTTCCCACATGCTACAGCTTGTGATCAGAGATGGCATGAAAGAGCTGGACCACTGCTGAAAGTAATTTCCAAAGCATCAGCCATTGTGTCCTACATTTGAAAATCAACACAAGCAACTGATCTACTTGAGGGAGAAGCCAGTGTTCAGTTGGTAATACCAATACGATAGAACTCAGAAATTAAGATGATTAATCTTTATTGAAGATTCCCCAGGAGAAATTGGGTAACTTAGGTACTGGTACATCAAAACTTACTTTTCATGATTGAACTGTACTTGCATATTTGGTGACAATATCGACACCTTTTGAAGAGGCAATAGATTTCACTCAGTGTTGTGTTATGTAGTGGCATGTGTTTATGGGCTGACAACTGAGATTGATAGTACGCAGTTCAGATACAATTTCAATCTTGTCTGTACTGAAGAAATCTGGTCATGCCTGGCTGACACAGTATGAGCAATGAAGTGTCTTCTGCTTGGATGTAGCATTGGATCCCAATTGTAAACTTGACTGTTGTTTCACTAGACTTATGGTTTATGGATCCAATCAAATGTACCTGCACCAATAATTCAAGAAAATTTCATCAACAAATAATCCTACAACCATGGAACGAAAAGAGGACTGTAAATCCCACCCCCCCTGCAAAAGAAGTAAGCTCTTTAGTTTTTTTGCTGCCTCCAAGAAACCAGCCACCAGAAGATACAGAGATCAACACCTGCCTTGATAGTCCTTCCATTCCTGAAGAAAGGAACCCTCTAGATTATTGGAAGATTCATGAAAAAAATTTTACTACTCTATCTCAACTAGACAAATGCTACCTGAGTTTTCCAGCATCTTTTGGCCCCATTGAACATTTGTTTAGTGCATTGGAGACAAAACCCTCAGTTCTGATAACTGCTACCTCACTGACAAGACATTTGAGAGACTGATGTTCATAAAGAACAATAGACATTTATAATATTTATAAATCTTCTTTAAAAATATATTTTTTGTTCTAAAACTTTGTTATTGGATTTTGAAAAATAAAAGTAATGAAATGTTATTATTTGCTCAAATTTTGTTTGTTTTAGTTTTTAAAAAGTTTATTTCATGATAAAAGTATTGAAATCTTATCTGCTATTTTATCGTAATTGCATATTACCTGATAAAGTATTCATGAATTTTTGTATTGTATTTGTATTCATAAAAATATGAAGTATTCGTATTTGTATTTGATTACTGGTTTCCAGTAGTTGCCCCATCACTGGTTATTACTAAAGTCTACAATCTAGTGAATGGCATTAACACAGAGCAAAAGAGGTTAAATTCTGATGCTATGCTTACACCCGTGTAAGTAATTTTTGAAGTAAAATGCTGTGTGTTTTCAATGCCTGATTTATTACATTTTCAGTAAGGTCTTTAATAAATTTTAGGAGGCTATAGTAATTTCATATCTCATTGCTTTATGTCTGTTCATTAGATAGAGCATTTTATTACCATATATTAAAATGTATTGGCAAAATGGAAAATTGTTAGGGTGAGCTTCAGTTTAGGTCCTAAGAGTGCCCTTACCTCAAAATCTTTATGGTTTCATATCATTTGAAGCTACAGGCTGTCTTGATGAGGAATTTAACATAGAACTTCAAGCTTTTTATTTGTGCACTTTTGTTTGAGCAACTTGCGTTTACTGATTTTTGTTACCTTTTGTTGTGATGTGATAAGGGAAATGTGTTTTGAATGCTAATCAAGAATGACTGCAACATCTCTTCTTGTAAAGCTTGTGCAGTTCTTTATTCTTATTTGAATTTTCTACTCCAAATAAAACTGAGAGACCCGAATGGTTTGGCACTATGTTTTGGTGTTTGATTTCATTTTTTGTTAATGATGGACATTATTTTTGATCAATTTTTAAACCTCAACTTTGAAAGCTTTGACAATATGTAAATCTGTGCCTTGCATAACTTTTTGGTAGTATTTTTGGACACTCGAGGCTTTTTCACTTTGCTTTAACCTCATGACTATTTCACAATCTTCTTGGCTGAAGTGATAGATGCACAAGCAAGTGGAAATTAACAGAATATCCTGTATATAGAGTTGAAGATATAAATCAAGACTGTAATTTTATATTGATTAAACTATGTATACATACATACACATACACACGTAAAATCCATTTTCTTGAACTTTTTTTATGATTTTTTTTTATATTAGCACTGAATGCAGGGTACCAATAATTAATAAGTGGCATTTCAAGTCTGCATTGTATTATTTCTGTTTAAATCATTATGTAATCATGATTATATTTGGTTGATAAAAGTATTATTATTAAATCTAATTCTGCCACAGTATGCAAGATATCAGCGTTTTGCAGCAGAAGAATATTTGCTTCAGGTTGGAGGTGTATTATGTCCCTTCCCAGGGTGTGGAGCAGGCATTCTTCCTGATCCAGAATGCCGGCGAATTGTTTGTATTCAACAAGGTAGTCAAGGATGTGGGGTAAGTTGCTATCTTAGATATTTATTCATATTATCTTTAATGATCAAGTTTATTTCAACATAAAACAAGATTTTGTCATGTTTTTAAGTATGTGTGGGCAGGATTCCTTATAGTAGGTGTCTGCAACTTTTTTGGCAATAAATTTCAACAATAAATGAACAGAACACAGTCCATTTCATTTAACTCTCTCAACACGAGCTTGGTCAAGTTGACCAACCAAGTGACCTCTTTGTACTCATTTAAAGTCTTTATAGATTTAATACTTCTAACTTTTAACATAGTGTGTATATCTTCACAAAATTTGGCAATCTTTCCAGTTAACATTATAAGTCTTTCACGTACAAAAATCATATTTTTAGTGAAGTATTTTTAATAAACTGAAATAAAAAATTTTCCATGAATATATTGAGTATTTGTTATGAATAGTCGTGTACAAAATGATTTTCATGTTAAGATTAAAAATACTGTTCTTTATCCCAAATATCTCAAATTTCATTTGTATAATCTCTAAATCCTCCTAAATACATTTCAGATGTTTGTTTTCAGTAAAACTTTATACTTTATCTGTTATTTTCTCTACTCTAATTCTATTATACAAGGTTGGTTAATTTGACTCACCTCGTAAACCCCCTCCCAAATCTAAATAAATATAAATTACCCTCTTTTTCTTTCTAGAATGACTTCAAATGTAGTGTGAAATTACATTCGTTTATCCTAAGTAGCTTTAAACTTGTAACAGTATACATCTATTTATAATTAAATGTTATTGTTTTATTGCCCTTTTAACTGTATCTAGCTACTGTTTGTGCCATTATAAGTAGTAAATCACTTGGGGAATGTGCAGTTCACATTACGCTATCAAATTACATTCCCCATGAGCTACTACGAGCTGCTCTCGTGCGTGCCTCATGAAACATTTTTATTATATTATTATTTGTGTTACCTGTTCTTATCTTAAGTAACCTAAAAAGATCTCTATTTTTACATATTAGCTACTCTTATATTAATAAATAAAGAACATAGATGAAAAACAAGAAATAAAGTACTTACCCAATTTTATTCTTGCTGTTGATTATCAATGACTCTTAACCCTACTTTTTTGCACTAATGGTAGAAATGCACCAAATAATTTTTGTTTAATTAAATAATGTACCAAAGAACTTAGATTAATAACCTGCAAAAAGTAGATTATTTCTCCTAACTCTCAAACTTTTTCTGGCTTTCTAACTGTGTAACAAGAGCCGTTACAAATTCATCTAAGCTAGTTGTTAGCTTTCCCATGGGAACAGAGCCTCTAGCATGAGTGAAATTGATGATTTTTTGTTCAGAACACAACCATATGATTCATACACAGTTATGTAAACAAATCTATGATAAATTATTGCTTCTAAAAATAACTAAATTCAACACTTGCACTATACTTAAATTAAAATAGTCCTGTATTTCTAACAGAATGAAGGTGGTATCTTCTGTTATGGTTTATTTATCTGTTGATGGAAATATGAAAAAAGGGTATGTAAGTGTAGGAATTTTTGTTCAAAACTTTAAAGTTAAACCACCTGCAGAGAAAAAGTTTTAATTCACACATTTAGGATCTTCTATTTACTCAGGCCTATTGTAGGGATTTGGTTTGGGGTTTAGTAGAGAAATTGAAGTGTGGAAGCAATGTGAGCACTCATGCAGAGTTTGGGGTGGGTCCCTCAAAAAACTAGAGAAGTTTAAATAAAAGAGGTTTTTCTAATTTATAATGCATTTTCTCCCACTGTATCCAAGATTAAAATTTCTTTTATAAATGCAACTGAAAAGTATTAAATAAGTTTACTTTGTGCCAGAGAATTGCTATGAGTTGTTAGTTATCAGATAATAGCACTATCTACATTATTCACAATATCCTTGCACTTTATAATGCTCACAGAGATGCAAGGTTTTTAATGTTGAATATCATTATCTTTAAATTTTTTTAAACTATGCAAGTTTTTATTTTGAAAATCATATGTTCAACTAACAGTTGCACGTAAATTTTAGTTAACTATTATGTCTTAAACTAGTTGCCTTAGGCATACTAACAGGCATTCTGTTGTATTAATTCTTATAAAATGAACTTAAATATAAATTAAGACTTAAATTATTTAATTTGTGGAATATTCTCCAATCTTGCAATTTGAACAATGGCTGGAGCCTGCTTATTACCCTTGCAGTGCAAAAATAAGAGTGATAAACTATACATTAAAATTGAGTTAAGGGAGAGTCATGAACATAATATTTAGTTTATGAAAATGTTTCATAAAAATGTTAAAAAAAGAATAGACACTTGTTAAGGTATGCGTTGACCCTGTGGTAGAACTCTGTATTTTGGAGCTGGTAACCTGGGTTCAAATTCATGCAATATTACAAAATATTTCCTCCCACTTTAAACTGTGGGTGCATTACAAAAGTAACAGTCAATCCCTTAGCATGGATGGTGGGAGGTATGGTGCTGTTGAATGGCTACCTTCCATCTGATCAGTAGCTCAAAATTCATTAAACCTATTTATTGCTGCTTGCTTGTGCAAATTGGTGTTTGTTAGCTCTAGGCCAAAGCCTAATTTTTGTTAATGTTACATCTCTATAATTCTGTATACTTATACCAGTTACTTAAAGAAAGTGATAAATCTGCATGTAACATTTGTTAAAGTAATTGTTGGATATACAAGACTGTTTAGCTTAGACATTATTATTTAATTTATTTTGTGAGTAATATTTCATGATTGTTTAGTATTTTTTCATAACAACAGAGTTAAATGCAATTATTTTAAAAGAGACAGTTATGACAAGTTTGGCTACATAATTCAGTAAGAATCATACTTTGTGTTTGTATTTTATTGATGTCGAGGCTATAGAAATATTTCTAGAGGCCTCATTGATAAACATATAAATATCAGTGACGAAACGAGAAGGAAAAAAAAATTGTTTGGGTTGTCAACTGGATTCTAAAACAATTGAATTAGCCTAAATGGACTTTTGACAAGAAGAAGAGAACTGTATAGTATTTAAGATACAACTATGATCTCAATAGTGTAAAGAATTTTTCTACCTATGTTTAACTTGTTTTGAATATATTATTTTAAAACAAATGGAGTGCATGCTGTCCATCTAGTGTTTGAATTTATCACCAACAACTCACAGATACCTACTGTAGAAGAGTCCATGGCTCACATACTTAGTTTCGGACATTGATATAATATGTTATATATCACACCAATAATGTTTTCATTTAAACTTGATTAGGTCTGCAGCAAAACTAAAATCATCCATAAATTTATGAGGTGTCAAATATTTACCAGCATCTTCACTTATTGCAAAATCAGGTTTTTGTGCACCAATGCATGCATAGCTTACACACTGTGTCATGTTATATAGACTGTAACTGTGGGATATATTTGCTTGTGTTTGCTTTATTGCATTAAGACTTACACTTAATATAACATTTTCAAAATAATGCAAAGCCTAACAATGTATAGCTGTCAAACCAAAGAAGTCTAAAAGCAGTTTTATTCATATTAGTCCTAGATCTTTTTCCAGTGTCCAGTCAGGTGTTTATGTTACTGATGATTTAAGGTCATAAGTTTAATGGACTTTGGGAACTATTGACTACATGGTTCATTTCAATGAAATGAAAGAATCACAGAACTTTTCAAGAGTACCTGATGATGACAAAACCTTGTCGAAACGTTGTACATTTGCTGTCATGTTAAACTTATATTAAAGTTTTTCT